TACAGCTACCTGACAGGAGGTCATAGAGAGATGGTTGGTCTCTACTTGCAAGCAGCAAGTGATAGGATGAGAGGAAAGGGCTTCAGGTTGTGCCAGGGAGGTTTAGATTGGATATTGAAAAAAATTCTTCACTGAAAGGGTTTTCAGGCATTGCAACAGGCTGCCCAGGGAAGTGGTAGAGTCACCATCCCAGGAGGTGTTTAAAAACTGTGCAGATGTGGCACTTTGGGATATGGTGCAGCAGGCAGTCGTGTTGGGGGTGATAGTTGGACTTGATCCAAAGAAGCCTTTTCAAATCATTAAGTTTCTACGTGCATTTACCCTTGCATTGTAAGGGCTCTTTTTTAAGGAGGCAACAGCCTCTGCTGTTAGAAGGATGTCTTGGCATGACAAGCGCATTTGCACCACCGTGCTCTGCAAGTGGAGGGCAGGAGCACAGGTACCTGCAGGGTGGTGTAGGAGCCCAGCTGCAAGGTCAGCAGGACCAGCCAGGAGGGCGGCGTCACGCTGCCCTTCAGAACAGGACACAGCACAGCAGAGGCATGTCTCCACCAGTGCCAGGCAGAGGTACTTTCTCAATAGCCAGAACAGTAAAGTGGCCTCAGAACAGCACCCTGTCCCATTTATTTAGCAAAGCAGGCAGATCCAGGAATGATGGTCAGGCATGTCAAAGAATAGGAAAGTAAGATGTAACTGGAGGAGTCTTCACATACCAAATGTACCCATTGCTTCCCCATTTCGGGTCTTCCGAGAGCCCCAGGAGGCAGCAGAGTCTCTTTGCCTGCTGCAGCGTAGAACTGCGCCCACTTCCCACAGACAAGTGTCTCAGAACCGTAAAATACACATCCAGACATTTAGCTCCTGGGCCAATGTCCACAAGCTCCCTGGAAGCACAACTCCACCCCGGGAAGGGGCAAGGACGGTCTTACAAACAGTTCCTGAAATAACAGCAGAGGAAGTAAGAAACAAACACAACCAACCCCCACCCCCTAAACATCCCCAGGACCTAAGGAAGGCAGCCATAACAACCGCAAGTGAAACTCAAGGGGCAGGGAAGTGAAAACACATTTCCATTGACCGTAACACATTACACAGTGTAAGCATCTGTCTTTGGTACTGACCCAAACAGAAGAGACTCTCCCATGAAAGCAGATCACAAGTAACAAACAAAACACAGACCCCACACTCTGCTGGGGCCTGTCCCTTGACCTGCTAGAAATATTGGCAACAAATATCTGCCCTTCTGTCTGCCCCCTCCCCAAAACTGCAGATCAAGGGAGCGACATGCAGCACCAAAACCTCCCTGAGGACTCCCACCAGCTGCACCAAGCATTTACAAACAAGCACAGGAGTCCAACACAGGTACCTTTCACTGCACTCCAAGAATTTTGCAAATGCCAAGTGCTAAGGCTCCCTTCTCTGAAGTGGTGGGTTTTTTTCCACACATCATCTGCCCTCCCTGCCTAAACCCAGCAAAAGCCAATAACCCCCTACCCTATCCTCGTGCAAACTTCCTGGAGGCTGTTTTCATTGTAGCCCAGAGCACTCTGAAAACAAATGTTCTGGAAGTACCCCAGAGAAGCCTATCCTGACAACACTTACGCTGTGAAGGGAACACCCTTCCTTGCAAACAGGAATTGGCAGACTACAAGAACAAACATCTTCCTCATAGCCGTTTCATATTGTTTCTAAAACTAAAAAAACCCCAGTTGAAGATTTGTAAGAGTTAATGTGATGCCTGTGAATGCATTTCAATTCATGTCAGCAAATACTCAGTCTTTAAGTAAACATGGGTCATACAGGTCTGCATCCCCTTCAGCACAGGTGGAGGGGAGTTCGGAAGTCACGCAGCACGGGTTATCCTCTGGAGAAGGCCAAATGCTGACCACCACCACACTGAGAAATGCATCTTGTTCCGTGGAAACTCGAATTCACCTACCTGTGAAGAGTTTGGGATCATATACTTCATCACCTGCCAAAGTGTGTGGTCCTGAAATATGTTCATGCAAATCACCCAGGATTTCTACGTGAACTGATTCTGTATACAGCTAAAGACAGCTGCAGGAATTCCTGGAACAAAACTATCTGGTTAATACATCAAACCCAAAGAAAATCAACAGAACAACAGTCTTGAAAATGCTTTATTGAACCGTGTGTCTTATTGTAATGTGCAGAAGATGTGTTTGAAAAGACTACAGCTTGAAAAATTTTTGAAAATCCTCAACAATCACCAAGAAAGTCCCTACTGCGTGTAACGCTCAGGCTAACCAGAGGGCTCATATAAAGTTTCCCTTGAAACATTTTCTGTTGCAGACTAAAAGAAAACAAAGCTAGTACTGGTTGTTGTAGAAACAAATCAAGAATTGAGGATTTTACAGAAAAAAAAAAGAAAAAAGGGAATGGAACTTAAACTTCAGTCTATGGGGTTGCTCCTTTTGCTGCTGTTATTTGGGATTTGCATACACGTCACAGTTCTGCTGGGACCACCACCGGGTGTCCACATCTGAAAGGTTACTCTAAAACAGTAGCAATGCTGCGGCGATGGAAGAACACAGAGAAAGAGAGAGGGGGTGAGGAAGATCTGGAAGGACACCATTAGGATGTAAGCCTAGTTTAAAATTTCATCAGAAGCTGTGTGCACTTTTGTTTTTGAAATCTAACTTTACATAAAAAACTCACCTCAAAAAAAAACAAAAAACAAAACCAGACATAAGCCTTCTGTCCATGTCTAGTATGAACTGCTATGGTCAAGTACACCATACTCTCTTTTTCCAAGCCAGTAGGGGTTAACAGCACAGGCGTGTATGTGGCGTGAGTCAACTGAAAGGCTTTGTCAACTTTTTCATACCAGCAAAAATAACCAAAGGAAACAATAAATAAAAGGTGCTAAAGTTAGCATTAAGAATTAATTTGTAATATACTGACAATCTGGGAGTCCCAGTCCTCAGGCTCTCCTGATACTGACAGGTCTCTACAAACTATGAAGCAAATACATAAATAACTCAAAATATGACTGAGACTCTGAAAGGCTTTTTAAACTAAGACAACATAACCCAGGTTAACCTTTTTAAAAAAAAAAAAACCACAGTGAATATATGAATTGCCTACACCTGAATAAAACATATTTAACAATTAAAGAAAATTAACAAACACAAAAAGCAAAAACTTTAAACAAAAGTGAACGTAATTCGATTTCAGGGCACACAAAACCCCCTTGCAGTAGCTTCCAGCAGTGACCTTACTGCTGCGTCTCTTACAGACGCATAAAATGAAGTCAACTCCGCACTGAGGCGATGGCCGAGAGGGCAACGCAGTGGTCACAGACAGCAAAATGCCTCACCCTGGTCACAACGCCTCCCACTGCAGCTTCCGTCCCATGTGGGAACAGCTCATAAGGATGTCATCCTGTCACACATCCAAAAGCTACTTCATGGCCACACACTGCTAGTCAGCACTAACCTCCTTTTGTCACGTAACCTCTGAATAGTGGGAAAGCTTTGGGTTCTATAGTTTTACTCCTTGTATTTAAATTTTTAAATGACAAGGTCACTAAAACTCATGCACGCTGCAAAAAACGTCATGCAGTAGTTAAGGTAAACCATCCAAGCATTTTTTATTCATTAATATTCATAAATACACACAGCAGCTTCATTAGAGATTTTTCATTTTCCTCTTCAGTTTGAATGTGGAGTATTAGGAGAGCCTTTTGCATGTCAAGGTACAGGACACAGAGCTTTTTGCTCTGCACTGCAACCTACATTTACCTGCTAGAAGTAAAAATTAGTTAAGTGGAAATGATTATCATATATATTTTTTCTCTCTTTCTTTTGAATGTACACAATGTAACAAGAGTGACAGACCTGAAATTACAATCACCAAAACAAACCCAAGATAGTTTTTGTCCACTTTCATTGGCAAATACAGCACAGAGGACATTGTCTGCAAAGTGGGATGTCATCAAAGAGGAGGTGGAGGAGGCTCGTTTCCTTTATTACTCTCTTTTAAATTTAGGTTTTCTAAAGCAACATCTAGAGGCATAATATCTACACAGCCCATAGCACCAAAATCTGCAATCTCCCCCCGCTCATCCTCATCTGAGGAGGAGCTTTCTTCCCGCATCAAAGTGGACAGTAGGAGCTCCTGGACAAACAGGCTGCAGTCTGCCCGCTCGCTCTCCATCGACTGACGCTCTGCTTCCGACATCTTCGGGTCATTCAACCTGCACGGCAGCAAAGGAAGAGACAACAGGCCAAGATGAGAGCCCACTTCACCCACAGCAGCACTGCTGACAGCTGCCAAAAGGCACTTGAACACCACTCCTTCAGGAGAGCCCTGCTTGCCCCTGATGCACATGTAAAGCCCAGGGACTCCCAAAGCACTGTGCAACATTCCCTCCACCACTTCTCCTAGGTTATGCCCTGACAGGCAAGCAAATTGCACACTAACTCTGACAGTCACAGTCTGAGACACTTGTGAGTATTTGGATTGAGTTTCTGATAGGAAGATGTCACACAGTATTAATTTGCACTTAGATAAAAATCAGCTTGACTCAAATCCGGGTTTCTTGACACAGGAGCTATTAAAATGCCCTATCTTTCACAACACTGGACACATGAGAGTATGTGTAGGGAGGTTGTGGCAGTGGGATGTGGAAAACATTTTTATTTCAGGCCATTAGCCCACCTTCTAAAAGAACTGAAATGACATAGCGGGTGACTCCTCTTTAAAATAACCCTGAGATCTAAGTATAATTTCCAAACCAGGTAAGTATCCTGTTAATTAATGGCATCCTTTATTCTATTTGTTATTTAGTCTCTAAAATAATTAATATATAAAACCCTATTTAACTTTTAGCTGTAACTGAAGATTAACTTCCTATCAAACAATATCATCTTCCAAAACTCCCTCCCCATTACTGCTGAAGTCTAGATGCCTGCATCACTGGAAATGCACTTGCTTTGTTGGAAACAGCCGGGCAAACAAGCACCATTCATTTGAGAAATGGTTCCTCTCTAAGTTGAGATGCAGCAACTACTGTTCACCCATTGCTTAGGTGCAGACAGACAGTAGGTTTGGAAAGATGTTGCAAATGCAAACAGAAGTGCAGTGTGTTGGCTACAGATTTGATGAAATGTATGGACTTGATGATCTCCCTGCCTGGAGTTGTAACTAACTTATTCAGGAAAAGTAAAAACCAGCATCATTTTCAAGGTTTGCATAAATCCATACTCTAGTCTAATTGTTTAGACGCATTCCTAGATGTATAAAAACCATCATAAAAAAGGCCCTCCACAAAACCCAGAGTATACCACACTTGTGAGACTGCCTCTCCTTTTTGCAGACACTAGACCACCACAGGATATTTCTGCAGCCAGCTCCTGGAGTTGGCTTTCCAAAACCAGAGTAATTCCCTTTGGGCCAGCTATAAACTCCTACTCTCAAATATTAAATTACTGGTTTTACTTTCATCCTGGAAATGTGGATGAAGCAAGTTGTACATAGTATACATTCTGTGACCCCTTTTGCTGTCTACCACAAATATTAATTATTTTAAGATTAATTAGCCTATTAGCTCTGGGACACATTTGATCAGACACTGCTCTTCTACTTGGGCATACCCCTAACTCTAAACACTTACGTTTCATTGAGCTCTGTGTTTCTATCAGGATTAAGGCAAATAGAAATGGTAAAAAGTAAACACAAGTAAATACACAGAACAAGCTACCTTGTAAGAAGAAACTGGGAATTCTGGATAGTCTGCTGACTGTTTTCTGTGTTAGATGTGTTGGTGGTTGTTGCAGATTGTGTCATACTGGAGTTGACGTTGATGGTGTTGGTGCGCCTAGTTGCATTGCGTGCAGTCTCCAGTTGTTGTCTTGCAGCCTGTGCATGTTGTCGCTCCAACTGCAGTTGCATCTGCAGCTGCTGTAACTGAGACGCAGAAGGACCAGAGGAGTTGAGCTGTCCTCCTGCAGAACGCCTTACACCTGACAGCTGAGATAAAAGCTCTGCCAGAGAAGAGAAAGTTTCTGTGATGAGCGCGCTTAAATGAATATCACACAGCGTAACGAGTACACCCTGACTTTTAGTGCAGCAGCTCCTTTTTATAACCAATAAAATCAAAGAACAATCCATGCTGAAGAGACCATGAAGCCCTTGAAAAATGTCCTAGCACTCAGTGTCTCAAAGGGTAAGGAAGATTAAGACTAATTTATGCAGATTTATCACAAATAGGCAGTCAAAATGCCTAATGCCTGGCAAATGATGACCTCTGCAGCAATTCTCTAAAACTTCAAGTCCAAATAGCAATTGACTAAAACTACTTCATTTAGGCTTTGCTCAGTGATTTTCTTTTCCCCTCGACAAACGTTCCCTCAAAACACAAACTTCACTTTCCCAATACCCCAGAGGGAAGCTGTGCTGCAGCAAAGGGAAATAGCATACCGCTGCTTTGAACAGTTAGTAAAAAATACTTAGCTAAGAAAACATACTGCCTCGCATCAAAACTGAGGTAGAATGATTTTTGTTGTATGAATTTTTATTTCTGCCACAAGTACAGAGAAGGCCCAGCAGTTAAAAAACCTCGGACTTTAAGCCTTCCAGTTCAGAGCGGTGGAATGCTTACAGCAAGTTTCATCCACAGATTTTTTTTGAAATAAATACTAGCAGCAAATAATTTGATTCTACTCAGTTTGTTACTGCAGAATCTCTTCTACACCCTGTGCAGAAGGTACCACTTAAATCACCTGCTTGCCATAGTTGATGCAAGGATGGAGGAAGTAGCGGCCAACACTGGTCCTGCTCCTCACCTCTACATTACAAAGTACACAGTACTGAAAATTTTCCTTCTATTGCATGAACAAAATATAATCCTCCTAAATATGTGAGGGAATAACGCAAAATGCAGTTGTTTTCCAAGTCAGAAACTCAGGACGGTCAAGTAATTTTTTATCAGCACTGATCACTGTGTCAAGATTAAATAACTTCTAATTTCACTGTAATTACTAAAAAATGTCACAGAGAAAAACAAATGTAAAAAATGTAACAGATGCTATAAACTTCACTTATTTTAAACAGAAAAAAATCTGATAGTCTTTCCTATTTATTACTCAAGTGAAAGAGATGACACACCAAACTTCCAGACACGACTCAGACGTATTTATTCTCACTGTAATTGAGAACAGTGAAACAATATTTTGGAAGCAGATCTGAGCTCCAGAGAGTCTCGACATATGGAGGACACCTGGCTCAGTGGGCAACTGAACTCTAAATGCAAAAACACAGTTTCCACCAAAAAAAAAGATCCAGAAGGATGCCATTTTACCCTATATTTAATGCTGCTAAGCAGGAAGGCCTTCTGAGGTTGAAAACAAACCTCAGCAGCCACTCCACAGTCAGAGCTGAACTAGCTGCCCTAGTAAGAGAAAGACAAAGTTTCATACTGGTGGCTTCAGGAACACCCTCCCTTCTTGAACAAACTCTAGTCCTTTTCAGACCCTCCTGTGACCTTACTTATTTTCTTCTCTTGATGGGATACTTCTTCCCACCTAATTTAATGAGTTCAATCAGGTCACAGTGGGCCAGCAGAAGGCAGGTATGGGGACCACGATGAAGGAAGGCAGTGGAGACACAACTCCTTTTTCAGGTGCAATGCCTCATTAAGCCAGCTGGCTGGTTGCCTCCCTCTAAATAGCTCACAGCATGGTAACAACAAGCTCCAGTTTAAGGGTTATGCCTTCCTGGCATCTTAAGCCAAGGTGGATCATGGTAGAAGTTCTGACACTTAGGCTGGCATGATTGGAGACCATGGCATAAAAATGTTTAGATTTCCCATTAGAAAAAGTTGTATTTGTTTTCAGAATTGTCTTCATTCTCTATTTTTTCTTACCTGTAAAAAATAGTACTTTCACATCAAAGGTAAACATACACCAAACAAATCAATCCTGGGAATCCTAAAGGCACATCTTCATTATTTTCTGGTGTTGCAAACGAGACACCCTTCTGCCCCTCACAGTTTTTCTAAACTTGACCAAAATATGTTGCAAGTATTTGCAACAGTACATTTATATAAGAATTTGCAAGTGCACCTAAAAAAAAATAACCTGTGCTATTAGCAAGTCTGGCATTCAAACAGCAGCCTGAATGCAAACTGAACATATTTCAAGAATCCATCAGTACTCAAATTCAGCTCATTTCATCTTCATTGAGACAGATACTCTCCTCCATAATGGGATGCACTAAAGTAGGTGATGGAAGTTGGTTAAGGCATACACCACCTACACACAGATTAGCTTAGGCAATAAGCCTTGCACTTGCACTGTCTGGAATTAAACCATGATCTACAGGCAGCCGTCTCGTCTCCAGCATCCGCGTGCACCGGCCTTGCGACAACCCAGCCAAGCACACGGCTCACCTGCAAGCAGCCATCAGTCACACGTGCACCGTGCAGCACATCTATACGTGCAACTTCTTAGCAACAGAAAGCAGGGCAACTAATATAACCTGGAACCTTACTTCCCTGTGTAAGAAGGACACTGGGGTAAAAGTCAGGGTTACAGTTCTTACCAGCTATAGGATCCATGGCTTCTCTATTGCTTGGAGAATACGAACTCTGAGAAGATGAAAGCCCACCAGGGGAACTGGTAGTAAAGTGCATGTTTGATCTACGTGCACGGGGGCCTCCCAGACCCCGGCCTGGGTGGAACATCCTACGTACGTGCCGAACACCACTGGATTCATCGTAAGCAAGCAGTTAAGAAAACAGAACTGGTTGGCATCGAGTATTAAAAGGCAAGAACGTTTAGTGGGCGAAATACTCAGGAGTACACAGTTCTTCATTCATAAAAGAATGACTCAACATCTGAAGCAAAGCTGAGGTATGCTGTAGCTATGGTGCAAGTCAGACTCACAGATCTGAACTCAAGATACACAGTTCTGTGTTTTCCAAACTCCTTTTATTTCTCCAGTTTCTCCTACAAAAATTACATAGTTACTGTACTCCTTTTGATTTTTGTATTTCAGGCTTTTATCCAAGAAATTTCATCACTTCAACCCTTAAATTGTAGGTTTCCACAGTATTCAGCGCCTTCATCACACCTCTTTGTTTCAACTTTTCTTTTTTAGCCACATAAATACCATTAACTCCAGTTATGACAATGATGCCTTTCATTTTACCATTTCCTCCCACTTTTCCTTATCAGATGTTTATATTTGAAGTCATACCATTTACACATTTTCTCATATACTTTAAGAGACAAACAAATTATTTAACGATTATTTTTGTCAGAAAGTTAACATTCATTCTTTCAAGACAGTCCAGATAAGGCTTCCTACTATTTTAAAAAATCACTAGTAAAATTCACTGGTGCAGAACAAAATAGTGTAGGCTTGAATATTTTATTTTACTGCTACTGGACTTCTAGCTTAGATCTCTCATGCTGTTTGTAGAAGTACGTTTACCACTTGCACGGTATCCATTACTGTGTAAGAGTAGTGCCCAGTGTACTTTTCACACCTCAGGATGGAAGTCAAGAGCTTAGGACTGAAAGAAATGACTAGGCTTCTCGAGGCAAGAATGAACTGGCTGTTAAAGAAAGATTTTACAGAACGTTCTCCTCTTTCAGACTCATTAGTTAGTTATGCTACAGTGTAAAACACTTAACATCCAGGGAGTAAGAGGAAAGTCTCCCATAGCACGGAACACACTTTGCTTAGCACAGACTGCCTTGCACCTCTGAGCGTGCCAAAACTGGATGCTGATGGAGATCAGATACTGCATTGGATTGACTACTGCCCCCATGCAGTTTGGCAAGCTTCTCATAAACAGATCTGGGTAGAAAAGGCCAGTTTCTTGAGATTTTTCAAGCAGACTCAGGACTGTGGAGTAACTTCCCTAACTGCAGCTTTTAGAATGTTTTTCATTCTTTAAATACTACCACCCAAGTCTTACCAGCTATGCTAGAGTAAGAAAAACCTTTGTAAACCTTAACGTGTAACAAACAGATAAACTGAAGAGCCAAGCAAGAATTATTTGTATGATTGATGCTGAAAAGCAGTATTTAATAAGCTTTCAAATACTTTCTTGCCGAAGTAAGAAACTGGGCTTTAAAGCGTTGTCTCCAGACCATAGGAATAAAGGATATACCCTGCAATGGCTACACCAGATTTATAACAAGTAATATATACTGCCTTCTGAGACAACTTAGTAATAAAAACACAAACAAAAAACCCAACAAAAACCAAAATAACCTACACAGGTCTAATCAGAACTTAAGAGCTTTGAGCAGACTCAACAATAAAAGCTCACCTCAAACTGTAACAGAAACCTTCACTCTAGAAAAATTGCAAGTGAAGAGACTTCTTTCTCTCTCTTTTTTGTACATAAAGGTTGTTACAGAGCAGAGTGTTGTTCTGTACAGCTTTTAACTTCACATGCATGTGTTTAGAACAGCAATATCATGGTATCAGAGAGCAGCTTTCCAACAGCTCCCAAGTTATTATTTCCTATGTTGCCAGACCCCGGATGAAAAGCAAAATCTTTCCCTTTTTTCCTACTTTAGACCTGCCTGTTGCTAGACGTGATGAAAAGCCCAATGTGAAAGAGTAACTTCCAGTTCTGGGGATTTGACAACGCTGATGACTGAGGCAATACAGCAGAACCAGAAAACTCTACACGCACCGACTTTAATGCTGAATCATGGACAATGTATTCCCAAAATATATCCAGAAGAAACATTTAGAGATGAATGACACTGAAGCCTTACATTTTAATTGAATAGACTGATTTTTCTAGCTCAAACACTCCCAAATTAAACGTCACCTGAAGGCATCTCCGATACTGGAGGGGGAGAAAAAGCTGCAGAAGCACAAATTCTAATCAAACATCTCGTTTCTTTCAGTACAAAATTAATTTTGCTCTGTAACTGGAAAAATATAAGCTTCCTGGCCTACACAGCAGTTAAGCCAATGTTGGAGGCCTACAGTTTGACCTTTGGTACATTGCCACGTAGTAAATTTTGTTAGTAAAAGCGTATTATGCAGGTGCTATAAAACTCACAATTGGTAGTAATAGCACAACTACACTGATACAAGAAAAATTGCTCAGTCACTTGCTACACCAGTTATCAGAGCTGTTCAAAGACCAGGAAAGATCCATGGGTCTGGAATATGCTCTCCCCTCAAACTCATCCCACCTCTGCTGGAAAGGGAGGATGGCACAACTCCGCCCTGCGGGACATCTGATCATGGATGACCTCCTGTACGCCTGGCACCAAGCTCTCATGGCCAGAGCCACCACATTCAGCACCCTGCTCCTACCAGCCACCAAGAGCTCCACTCCTGTCCGCACAGAAAGGTGAAGTAGAGATGACTGCTTTTATCTGACTTTGTAGTGTTCTTCCATCATTAGTTACTTCTTCACAGAGCCAATAAACACCCTGACCCTGAACCATAACACTAACAAACTTGAATGCAATCAAATACAATCACAACTGAAATGCAGTCATCTCCTTAGACGCCATAGCCCTTCTGTCAGCATAATGAATTCCAGTTGCCACAGCTTGAATTTTTTCCCCTTTTTTAAATACCTTTAAACAAAAAAGCCATTACCAATGTAATAATGTAGTCGTCTTGTCTGATTTTTAAATGAGATAAAAAGGAAGAATTCAGAGACATTACTTACTGTAGGTAGGCTACACAGCCTGCATGTCATTACATAAAAAGCCCAAACCAAAGTAAGTTTCATCAGTTAATCCCAGGGGGAAAAAAGAAAAAAATATTCCTAGAGCAAGGATAAAAAACTCAGTAGTTCCAGTTCTTCAACCACCAAGCTTAGATTTAACCTGCTGCTAAGGTAACAGAAAGACAGCATCCTACTTCCAAGGAAATCTGAAAGTCAAATGACAGTAACATTATGAAATTACATTATTAAAACATGGTGTTAAAAGTAGTTAAGCAAGTTTAAGATTATTCGCCAAAACCAACTAAGATCAAATCACTCTCAGATTATCACCTTCATGTCACAAATACTTACAACACACTGCTGAATCTGGATACATAAAAGCAGCATCGAGACTAATGATCAGGCAGGCTAAACCACAGTGCAAGCAGAAAAACTTCCTGGTGTCAAAGTCTTTAAGTGTATTTGCTGTTAGAGCAAGAAGCACTGTCAAGTATACCTACAGCCTGTTCAGAATCTGTTATTTATACTTTTTTAACTAGCAAATAAACCTTTTTATTTTTGACATATAGATCTCTAGCAATTTAAGTTCCAGGAAAACCAGAAGTATAGTTGTTTGACCATTAAAATTAAAACAAGTCATCATGGCTACTAGATTAAACAATCTAGCCTCCTTGCCTCAACTTGGAAAGGATATTAAATCTCTAGGAGCTCTGTGTTCCAGTGTGAGATGAGCTGCAAAGTCATCTGTGACATGATTCGGATCCCCTCCAGGTAATGCTGCACATATTGGACAAATCTGAAAGACAAAGTAAGAAAAAACCCAACTTCATAAATTTTTCACAAAACAGAATTTGTGTATCGACACTGATACTTATGCTTTAAAATCATATTCCAGGCATTCACAGACACCTGGATAGCAACATGTACAAAGAAGGGAAACGTATTCAAGTGTTGACATTAATTTAGACATCTTTTAATTCACGATTTTTAGAATGCTATCAAAACCAGAGCAAGAATTTTCAAATTCAATTTCCAATGTCTTGAAAATTAGTCTTTGCACGCCAAGCCTGCCAGACAGTAGAGTCTGATTACACGGGATTACTATGTGCCTGCTTTACAGTCATCCCAGCAGAGGAATTGGAATGAAACAACACAGAAGGATTTGCTGAAGTATCAAACTGCAACCACCTATCCAGGCAGTGCGTAACTCCAGGTCTGGCAGAGGAGGGCTGATCTCTATTACCCCTACACAACAATATTTTGGGAGAAGGCACTGACATCTGTCTTTGGTTCGATTCTTTTTACACCAAACCACACATTAACTAAGCAGACAAACAGTGCCATTACTATTGCCATGACTTTTTTTTTAATGACTCCACAAACAGCTTGAAAAGTGTCTTCTGTTTTTCCTTACAGTAGTTTTGCAGAGTAATTTTAAAGTTCTACAGATGGCAGAGAAAAAAAATCCATTCCACAGAATTCTTCTCAAAATGTTTAGTGCTCAAATTATGAAGACTTTTGACAGTTAAATGCAACTGCTGTCTATAAATTTCTGTTTCTCACAGTCAAATAGACTTGTATTTACTGAGCAACTCAATATAAAGCCCAAGTTCCCAGTCCTATTCGTGCACGTACTCAAGTTTTGCTGACAGCAGATCTCAGAAGACTGTGGGCATTAACATAAACTATATAATAGCTCAGACTAATAGAAGACCCGGGGAACTACAGGCCAGCCAGTCTTACCTCTGTGCCCAGTAAGATCACGGAGCAGATCTTCCTGGAAACTATGCTAAGGCACATGGAAAACAAGAAGGTGACTGGTAACAGCCAGCATGGCTTCACTAAGGGTAAATTGAGCCTAACACTTTTGGACACCTTCTGCAATAGGGTTACAGAGCTGGACCACAAGGGAAGAGCAACTGACATCATCTACCTGCACTTGTGCAAAGCATTTGACACTGTCCTGCATGACATCCTTGACTCTAAATTGGAGAGACAGGATTTGACAGATGGACCACTCGCTGCATAAGGAATTGGCTGGATGGTCACACAAAGATTTGCTTGGCTTGATGTTCAAGTGGAGACCAGTGATGAGAGGCATTCCTCAGGAGTTGTTTTTGGGACCAATGCTGTTTAACATGTTTGTCGGTGACATGGACAGTGAGATGAAGTGCACTCTCAGCAAATTTGTTGACAATACCAAGCTGTGTGGTGTGGTTGACATGCTGGAGGGAAGGGACGCCATCCAGAGGGACCTGTACAGGCTGGAGAGGTGGGCCCATGCAAACCTTCAACAAGGCCAAGTACAAGGTCCTGTGCATGGGTCATGGCAATCCCAAGCACAAGTACAGGCTGGGTGGAGAACAGATTAACAGTAGCCCTGAGGAAAAGGAGTTGGTGGCTTTGGCTGATGAGAAGCTCAACATGAGCCAGCAATGTGTGCTCACAGCCCAGAAATCCAACTGTATCCTGGGCTGCATCAAAAGAAGTGTGGCCAGCAGGGCAAGGGAGGCGATTCTGCCCCTCTAGTCCACTCTTGTGAGACTCCACCTGGAGTACTGCATCCAGCTCTGGGGCTCACAACATAAGGACAAGGACCTGCTGGGAATGGGTCCAGAGGAGGGCCACAAAGATGATCAGAGAACTGGAGCACCTCTCCTAGGAGATCAGGCTGAGAGAGTTGGGGCTGTTCATCCTGGAGAAGAGAGGGCTTCAGGAATTCCTGAAGCCAATGACAAGGGGTGCTCTGCTAGACCTCATACTCACCAAAAAGGAAGGGCTCATTTGGGATGTGAAGGTGAAAGGCAGCTTTGGCTGCAGTGGTCTTGAGATGGTGGAGTTCAGGACTTTGAGGGCAGGGAGGAAGATGAAAAACTAGCTCACGACACTGGCCTTCTGAAGGGCAGACTTTGGCCTCTTCAAGTATCTGCTTGGAGGAGTCTTGTGGAATAAGACCCTGGAGGGTAGAGGGACCCCAATAAAGCTTGTTAATCTTCACAGATCATCATCTCCAAGCTCAAGTGTGCTCCTTCCTAACGAATATGAAGTCAGGCAAAAGTGCCAGGAAGCCTACATGGTTGAACAAGATGTTCCTGGCCAAACTCAAAAAAAAAAAAAAAAAAGGCATACAGAGGCTACTGTTCTAGGATAACCTTGGAGGAATACAGAAGCATTATCCATGCATCCCAGGACAAAGTAAGGAACACTAAAGCCCAAATGGAATTGAATCTGGTGAGCAATGTCAGAAGCAAAAAGAAGGGCTTCTAAAAGTACACAGGCAACGAGACGAAAACCAGGTAAAATGTGAGCACATTGCTCAAAAGATGGGGGACCTGGTTACACAGGACACAGAAGAGGCTGAAATACTGCATATGCCTCCCTCACCTCAGTCTTTATTAACAAGGCCAGCCCTCACGAATTCCAGGCCCCAAAGACCAGGGAGCCTGGAGCAAGAAATATATTCCCTTGGTGAAACAGGAATTAGGTCAGAGAATGTTTAATTGAACTCGGCATATTTAAGTCCACAGGCTGCGAAAGGATGCACCCACAAGTGCTGAGTGAGCTGGCAGATGCTCTTCAATAATCTTTGAGCAATCAGTGACGGGGAGTGATGCCCAAGGATTGGAGTAAAGCAAATGTCACTCCCATCTTAAAGAAGGGTAAGGAGGACCTAGCAAATTAGTGGCTGGTCAGCCTCTCCTTGATCCCTGGAAGGTGATAGAACAGCTAATCCTGGACGCCATTTCCAGACAAAAAAGATAAGAAAATCATCAAGAGCAGTCAGCACAGCTTCACAGAAGTGAAATCATGCTTGACCAACATGATAAATTTCTATGATGAAGTGACTGGCCTGGCAGATGAGTGGAGAGCAGTAAATATTGTCTACCTAGACTTCAGTAAGGCCTTTGATGCAGTCTCCCATAGGATTCTCATTGACAAGCTGCTGATGCACAGGCTGGAAAAGCAGACAGTGAGGTAGAGTGAAAACTGGCTTAACGGCTGCGCTCAGAGGGTGGTAATCAGCAAGGAGTCTGCCAGTGACACAAAACTGGAAGGAGTGGCTAATATACCTGAAGGTCATGCTGCCTTTCAGGGGGACCTCATCACCAACAGGAACCTCATGAAGTTCAATGGGGGAAGTGCAAAGTTCTGCACCTGGGGTGAACAGTCACAGGCACCAGCACACACTGGAGGCCACTCAGCTGGAAAGCAGCTTTGCAGAAAAACACCTGGGGGTCCTGGTGGACACCAAGTTGACTATAAGCCATCAATGTGCCTCTGTGGCAAAGCAAACTAATGGTGTCCTGGGCTGCATTAGGTCACCAGCAGATCAAAAGGTAGTGATCTTCACCTCTGTCCAGCACTGATGAGGCCACACCTGGAGCACTGTGCCCAGTTCTGAGCTCTGCATACAAGAGAGACATGCACATACTAGAGAAAGTCCAGCAAAGGGCTATAAAGATGATTAAGAGACTGCAGCGCCTCTCCTGTGAAGAAAGGCTGAGAAAGCTGGGGCTGTTTAGTGTGGAGAAGAAGATGCTCAGTGGGGCACCATATGAATGTACAGAAATACCTGAAGGAAGGGTGAAAGGAGCATAGATCCAGGCTCTTTTCCGTGGTGCCTAGGGGCAGGACCAAAGGCAGTGGACACAAATTCAAGCACAGGAGGTTCCTCACGAGCATCAGGAAAACAGTTTTTCACTGTAAGGGTGACTGAGTGCTGGCACAGGTTACCCAGAGAGGCTGTGCAATGCATATCCTCAGGCATGGTCCTGGGAAACCAGCTGTAGGTAGCCCTGCTTGAGCAGGAGGGTGGACAAGTCAGCCTCCTCCAGAGGTCCTGTCCAACCTCAGCCAGTCTGATTCCTGCTTGCAAGCACCTAACATGGCTGTAAATACCAATGCCAAATACCTGAGAAAAATCAGCAGAAAGTACACTTCTTATCTGCACCACTCTGAACATAAAAATGGCAAAGCTTAATGGATCAAAAATTTGACTTAACTGAAAAACAGGGGGTAGGGGGGAGTAAAATTCCATCCCTCTAAGAGATCCCTCAGAGATCTAAAAATTAAGATCTAAAATAAGCACATCTTTGGATAGACAGAGATACTACAAGGATTATAAGATCAATATCTGAACAAAAATAATTGCTTGAAAGCCTAAGACCACAAACATTTAAAATCCATAATACTTTCCTCTTTAGTAATATCGTGGCCTTTCACTATCTGCAGTAAGGCTGTGGTACCCAGCTAGTTTTATGTGCATGCACACTGAACGTTTATCACAAAAGCTGGATTCAAAACTTCACACTAACATATACAATCATATTCAAAGATTAAAATATTGTCCTTTATCATTCTTTGGAACAAAGATATTCCAATGTTGCAGACTTACAAAAAGGAAATAATTTTTTAAGCTCTATTTTGGTTTAGGATTTTTTTGTGTGGGTTTTTTGTTGTTGTTGGTTGGTTGGTTTTTTTGCGTTTTTTTTTTTGTTTTTTACCACACACAGATCTGTCACAAATCAATGGAGTAGCAGTGTCTAGAATCACAATTGTAGGTTTTATGTACTGAGTTCTAGAAGTCACAGCTGCAAACGATGATGTGTCAAATTTAGAAACCTGGAATCTTAGCATTCTGTGTCAGGAATATATCACTGACATCAAGTGGTGCAACTCAGAATTGCAGTATTAAGCCACCAAAGAAAGCAATCCAAACATGTAACTTTCAATGGTTGAAGTTACATTTGAAAGTTGCAAAGTTAAATTCAAGGAAATTATAAAGACAGCATTGTCACTAAGTTAATTCATGATCCTACACTGCAACTGATTGTGAAGTAAACTATTTCACTTCATATGTTTTCAAGAAAGATCAGAACACCATCGAGTCTCAAGAAGGTGGACAAACCACCTACCCTATCATTTCTTTGCACAAGATCCTTAATAGGAAAAGGTTCATTTTCCTCCACAGAATTCCTTGGAAGCAAAAAAAAAAAACTGGAAGATTAAAACAGAGAACCTATTTATAAGTAATTTCTTCACAATGTATTAGTGATGAGTAATCCAAGTATTCACATTCTTCTAGGAATCTATGGTACAATAGTTAACACAAACACTTTAATCTGAGGTGTTAGCTCCGGCTATTCTGATTGCCTTTGGGGCAAGAGAAATTGGGATAGCAGAACGACACCCAGGGTGCTCTTGTCTGGTTAACACTTGTTTAAGAGCTGCGTTTTTAATCATGCCAAGTGCCCTAATGCTTAGGGATGGGGGGGGAACCTTGCTTTACAGCAACAGTTTCAAAAGAACAACTTCTGCTGCACAAATATACCAGGTCTTTCACAAAAGCTACCTGAAAAACTCAAAGGGTCTGCAACTCTTCCTCCCATAGTTATAGAAGTCTGGCACAGCTATGAGCTTACAGGAGAATTACATGCTGGTTGTGAAAAAGCAGACAGCCACATGGAATAACCATGAGAACACTCCAACTGAACTCCTATACATGGCAGCCTTTGTATCAGGACAACCAAACAGCAGCCATAAAAGAAGAAAGCAAGCTCATTATATTACAATTATGTCATCTCACAAAGCATTTAAATGAACTCAAGTTTCAAGAAAAAAGAACAGGAGGATACCCGTGTTCCAGAAGAGAGACTCTTTTTAATATATTTCCACCACAATTGAAAGCCAATTCTGAGGCTTCTTACCACTTCTGTTGATGTTTCTGCATGCTCAGAAGTAACATGTTCTTGAAGAGATGTTTCCGTATAACCCATTTTCCCACAATAAGGACACGTGAAAGACTGTGGCTGCTCTACCGAGAAAGCTTCTCCACCATAGTACAAATCTGGAACAGAAAACATTTAAATACAGGTTACTTCACTGCAGTAGCATAATTTACTTTGTTCACATAAGCCTCTACTTATAAATCTACTTCAATGTAATCACTGCTAAATTAACCTAGTATTTAATTGAAATGGCTCTTTTAATCCTGTATAAAAGCCACAAGGTGATATTCAAGAAGTGTTCAATTTCAGATGACAAATCCAGACAATGTTTCATTTTCATTAGCAAACATAACAGTTTTCTAATATGGAGTAGGAGCAAAGACCCCGATGATGCTGCTGCTGCTAATGCCAAACCTTCACTTTTTCACCACCCTTCTTATCCTGTATACAGGGTCACCTATGGTACTTTTCAATCAAGATGTGCTTTCAAAAGCTGAACTCTAAAAACAGTACCTCAAAAATTTAGATTAAAATTTAGAAGTCCTCAGTGATACCATACGTCAGTATTTATGCCACAGCTGAACCACCGCTTCACAGTAAGTAGTTTCAGAAATGTCTCAAATCTATTATATTAAAGATTGATAGTGAAAAAGGAATCTGATTATCTATTATATACTGGTTGCAACTTTTAGGCGTGTTAAAAGTTAAACACTTTTGCACTAGTGATGAAAAGCAGGCACTTTCAAGATGCTAACACAGAAGTTACCCAAACTTAACATGAGAATTTATCAAACCATGCAATAAAAGAATGCTTTTCTCTCTCATCCTCTGCAGGTATTATGTATTCTACAAGAAACACAAACTTCATATTCACATCAAGATAAAAAGCATGAATTCCTCCAGCAGGTGTTTTAAAATAGTTTCACTGACATTTTTTCTAGGACTCACCGGTAAGTAGCTGAAAAAAATTTTAATCAAATTATTAATATTCTACCATAAATTAAAAACTGGACAAGTCTGAAGAGATACGAGAACTCATGTTCTGCACCACAAGGCAGTATCTAATGTATCAAGCCATCAGAAGGACATATTCTTAAGTCACAGCTTCCTAAAGCTTATAATATCTTCAGCTATTGACCTCTCAAGGACATGACTAGGAAGAGAACAACATTTTTGTTTCTGCTGCCATACAAAAGATTATGCTTAAGCTAAAAACATACACATCTATTATCCACTATATAAACAGAAAGTATTTTACAGACAACTAGGTTTTGAAGACTAACCAGGACCAGTACAGGAAATCAGCTTCATAGTAACATGTTAATATGCAGAGTTAAAGACACAGAATCAGACTGAATACACTGCAGAATTAAGTTTATATTCAAGAAGTCCCTGTTCCCCTTATTTGGAAACTGCTTCCAGAGAATTTCAATGCCGGAGTATCAGAGAAAGGTAACTCTTTAGCAGGCATGGCAAGAAATGCTCAAGTCAACAGACAGCTTTTCCAAAGAAGAAACACTACCTGACACACTGAGCCTTTTAACTGGTTCATCAAATTAACTATCACACTGAGCTTGAGCACCATCCTGAACCTAGATTCATTTATTCACATACACATAAGGAAAACATAATTTCCAACTATCTGAAGTAAAAAGTTCCCAGCCAACTAAGTCTTAGTTCTCCAAAGCAGCATTTGAGGTTCTATTAAATGTTTCATACAGTAAGTCACAGAAGTAACTTTTAATTAGAGAATGGAATAGCACATTGGATATAACTGAAGCGGAGAACTATACAACTGAATGTCAGCATGAGTGTAAGTTGGAACGGAACGTATGTCCAAAAGATCGGCACCCCTACCTCCTAAGAAACCTGTTTATTGATAACCATGTTAGTCACACTAACCCATTTACTGATGGCAGGTACATTTATGCTCAACCCTGTCTCCAGCCAGGATGGAGAGAGGGATATTGGACTGTGTGGATTCAGTGGCACTAAAATAAAGATTCTGGGAACAAAATAAGTAAGTTGGCCAAACCTTTGAACTGAATAGTTGAGACAAATTTCAAATTTAACTGCATTTAATGTGTCCAAAACAGCACATACAAACACTGTATAGTTCTCTAAAACTCAGTAATTCAACAAGAACTTCTGCAGAGAAAATTCTGCATACCTGCAGAAACAGCAAAAATGCCAGTCACAAACACATCAAAAGGTAATGACAATTTGTTTAGACGCTCCTCTGTCCTCAAGCTTTGGTATGATCCTCATGATGATTAATTACCTATTTACTGATTGGAGAACTTAAATTCTCCATCACTGCAAACATACACACAGAGGTAAAAAGAGAAAGTTAAGTTTTCCTTTGAGGATTCTTTCCTCAAAGAGCTGAATAAACTAATTTCTGATTTTTCCAAACTATGGCATCTTATATTCTGAACTGGATAAAACAAGAAAGTGACAACTCAAAGGGGCAAGCTGATGAAAAAACAGGCAAATCATATTATTTAGAGAACTTGCATATAAAACTAACTTCTGCATCTACTATCTAAAGAGAAAGAAACATCTCAAAATTGTCAGGTGTTCTAAAAATCTCTACCTACAAACCTCACTACTTCATGAATGAAAGTGTTTTCAAGTAAGGCAGAAGTATCAACTCCAACTTCCCAATCGAGCAAAGGGCACAGGGCCACAACCAATCTGACCAAAGTGGTAAACAGATTAGCACGCAGGTTAAAACCTATTGTCCTTTGATAAGTTGTTAGCTTAGTCCAGATGTCAAGATTCCAGCTGTAAACACTGTTCCATCAGAGGAGAGATGTTTGATGAGTACTGTCAAATCCACCGTTTCTGGTCCTTGCTTTTAGAGAAAACGAAACAAGCTAGCTATTAATTTTAAAAATTAAAATCTGAGTCCTTTCCAGCCTCCTGTTTATACTCCTGCATGGTCTCCCACTCATACCTCCCTTCACATCTCCCATAACACACAACAAACATACATGGACATGCCAAACGAATATGCTTTCATCTAGGAAAAAACCGCACCTGTCAGAAGTCAAGTCAGTCACAGGCAAATTCAGCTATTCTTCCCCAGGAAGGTTACACCTTGCTTCTCTGTTCCTCCTCAACTTTAATCTCTCTCCACCTCTTAAAATCAAAATCTGTCCCTTTTCTAATGTGAAATACAGGGCATCACATAAGTTTTCTTTTAAAAGTAAAACAAATTAAAGAAAAATAAGTTGGTAATGATACAATGAACCTTTGCATCTAATTTTAGCATAGAAGTTACTAAATAGATACTTTTCTACCTGTTTCACTCGTTCACTAAGGGAGACCCTAATAATTACAGTATGGGGAAACACGGAAAGACCATGCTTCCGTGGCTGCAGAAGCAATGCAACCCACAATTGTATTACTGTTCTCATTTACAGCTTTATTACTGTTACAATGCAACTGCCCCATGACCAAACAATTATCCCTTCCGGCCACAAAGAAATTTTTCAGATAATGCATCATGGTTCTTTACAAATACCTTTCTACACAAAAGCAGGAGTCCATAACTCTTCAAACTCCTCTGGACCTCTAATGCCTTCTTTTCAAACTAGCTAAGAAGGCAAGGTTGCTTAGTTAAAAAAAAAAACAGACGACACACACAAAAATGAAACCAGACTAAATCAAAACCCTGCAGGACAAGATTCATTGCCCACCCTGCTTATCAGTTAAATGAAGAATACAAAGGATTACATTACTGTCTAAATGGGACTCAACAATAGTTTATGAAGTTAGATTTCAAGCTCAGTGTTAAGACATTATAGCTGTTCTTTAAAAAAAAAACACCACACGAAAACCAAACACAACACAAACCAAACTTTATGTGAAAGTTTAACCACAAATATGAGCAGTTTTCCCTTATTATCTATAGGTATAAGATTGCTTGAAATTAACATTTAAATCTAACACACACATTCTTAAACATGGCAAGAAGTTAGTAATGAGACAGAAATGCAGGAGGATTCTTTAGATTAAAAAAAAATAAAAATCAATCTTTCAGAATGATGATTCAGGACCACAAGCAGCTTGACCTTGCTTTCTCTTAAGACTTATTTACTTTACAAGAGTACACAGTGGTCAGGAATTTTACTTATTTTTCTTCATATGAGTAACATAATTTCAACTTGCTATATACACATAGATTTAAATGTTGGTATTCTACAAGGTGTAGTGTATTTGTTTGAAATTTTTTTCAGTGTTTGAAGAAACTCAATGGTGGCAATGTACCACATTGTACAAAGTATATATTCCTGTATCACTGCTCAAGCAACCATACTATTCAAAACAGTATTCCCCTTAAAATTGCTATTAGTTCTGTTCTTGATGCATATCTTCTGAACAAAACATTTTAGAACATGCTAGATACTTCGCTATAAACTTAAAGAAATAATGCTTAAATCCCCTCAACTTATAAACATTTGCATAAAGGAATGGGCCAACAGGAATCCTAAAATTCAGCCCAACCCTGCTAACAAGTGAGGGTGTACTTGTGTTACTTTTATTAAATTATCTGATTTTGGCAGAGAATTGTACTAACAATTTGTACTAGCTTCTTTGCCATTATAACCCCTTTAAAATGGCAGGTAAAGTGTGCATGCCACATACTTAAAATCATAAAGCATCCTAACAGCTTAGGATTCTTTTCTGGGAGAAAGAAAATTGGGAAGTCTGCTCTGAATTTCTCCATTGTCATGACAAACTGTCCTACAAAAGCACAAAAGTACAATGATCACCTGGTAAGCACATTCCTCTTGTTTACACAGGCCTATTACAATTCTACTCTTTGACCCCTCAGAAATAAACTAATTGGATTTGTGCTTTAAAGGCCACTTGTCACGAGACTTCGTATTTTGTATTAAGCTCTGTCCTTGCTGCAGCAGCATATCACTCTGTCTGTGTGTGTCTGTCTGTTTCTGGGTCTGTCTGTCTTAAGGCATTTTTTCCAGTGTGTCTTGCAGGGGCTGAAGAACAATTCCACTACCATTGTTCTGGATCCCATCTTGCTCCAGAATCAATACTAGGTCATACACTGACTTCTGAAAGACAAATATGCCAACATGTAGCCAGAAATCACTACAACTTTTTTTCTGTTTTCAGTGTTCTTATACAGGCTCCTATACTAGTCTGAATCTTGGAGGGGGGAAAAATAAACTTAAAAAAAAAAAATCAAGAGGACAACAAAAGCTCCTTTAGAGCATCCGAAGAAGTTAATCTTGTAAGATACTCACCAACGTTATTACAGCATCGAGGAACTCTAAAGATCAGAATTTTCATGGAGGTAAACAGTATGGTGAGACAGTCCCAGACACACACTGATCCATGTGATTAGTTGTCCACCACAAACCTAAGCTTGACCACAGCTTTAGGCACAGAATACTTAAGTGAACTCTACAGTTGCCTACACATAGACTGTGCTGGCAAGAACGGTGATGGTAACTAGAGGTACAGACTCCTTTTCATCAGCTGCAGATGGACCTTGAGCAAAGGACTCACTGATACTCACATACACTTTTAAAAAGCAGAAAAACGACACCAACTTCCTCTGAAGTGCTTGCATCAGTTTTGCAATGGAAGGGTCCCCTACTCTGCTTCCTTCCCTTGGTAAAATATTTATCTTTTACCAGCTGTCCACTTCCCTCCCCACCATCAGCAAGAACTGTAAGTTTACTGCTATTAGAAACAGTTTTCATACCTTTGAATCAAATCTGATTACAGACATCAGTATTGAAGTTTGTCAATGGCCAAGTAAACTGCAATTCACACACCTACTTAGACAAACAGCCTTCCATTCTGTATTTCTACTGACGTTCTGCTTACTTGGGAAAACTTCCTACTCACGTATTAGAAAACATTCTCCTGTCATTTGATTTCCCACATTTGAACGTGACTGAAGATCTCATCGCTACTATGCCATTTAGTTTTACATTGCCAATATTCCCCTTGAGATTATTTTCTTTTAACCCTTCAATAGCTGCTTTGTTGGTGAATTTTAATATTCACTAGTACTGCTATCCCTGACAGTCCTGAAACTAGATCTCTCACTCTGGACTAGATCTATTATTTATTAGAGATTTTCTAATTAAACTTAACATTCCTTAGCTCCTGATTTTTTGGATATTCCTCGAAGTCACATGATCTCCTTGACTACACAAGGCCCTCTGAAAAGTCACCCTAGCTTCTCCAAGCGTCTGTACAATACCATAAAGGTATACTCCTTTATGCCTTACTTTTTATAAGGAGCTGTAAAATAAAAACATTCAGAATGATGATACAGGCCAGCCTGAGCCCTAAGTAACATGTTATTTATAAATATTTCCTAATTAATTCTCCAGTGTATAAGCTTACAAGGTCACTAGTACTTAGGTGCCATCAACCTTTGCTGTGGTCCCCAGTCTGGTGGTGAAGTATTCTTTCCTGTTCTTCTTCTACAACGTTTATGAAACCAGAAACCTTGCTGCAGAGCTGAACTGCAGTATTTTTTTTTCCCCTAACGCTGGTTCTGTGGTAACAATGCTCATATATCAAGCCATATGAAATTTCTAGAGCTTGTTTTCTTAGTATGCTTGTTTAATAAAGTCACAGTAGCATGAACACCAAGCAATGCAGAAGTAACCCTTGGAATCCTATTACCTATCTCAATACCTCACTGTGAACTTTCTTCCACCTTGCCACCTGTATTTTCACGCAGACTTAAATAGTAAAAAGTAACCCCTCTCTGCCCCCACAACGTACACAAATAAAAATGCATTAAACTAAGAGACACATTTATCAAAGACTTCCAAGAGGGAAAAATCCAAGCTGCAGGAAATAAAATGCATTTCCTAGACAAGTTTAAGTTCCAATGACAGGCATTTTAAGAGAACAGTATTTAGAGTAAATTTCCTCATTGCAGTACGTTGAAAGCTTTGACATTTAATGCTAGCTTAGAGCTTCATAGCAAGCATGTTTCAGTCCTCTTACCCCTAAGATGAGCATTTCATGTTTACCGCAGTGCTGTCCTTTTAGCCCATGTGTAGCACCCAAGAATAACTGTTGCTAAGAGGCTACAAAATTTGAACTATGCATCTCATACAGTGACTTGAATCCTGAATTAATATACTGTATATAGGGAATTCATTAGCGAGACAAGAAAAAAAAAAGCCCAAGAACAAATATATGCAGTAACACACTAAAAAAACCCGTAGATTTCCAGGGCCTGGATGTTTCAAGTCATGACGAGTCTTAGGGCAAGCAGAGGCCTGAGAATTAAAAGAAAACTAAAGACATCTTCATTCAGAGGCTGTTTTGAGAAACCAATGGCATATTTCTGTATATAGCTATTCTCTAATCTTTAAAGCAATACAGAAGTTGATTTTACTTCTGTTGTAATCAAAAAGGTAAAGAAGTAATTTAAAATTTGTAAGACTTCACCTTTTAAGAAATCATCATATTTAAATAATTCAAAAGAAAGAGCACTACAGCCAGAACTGTAAAAAAATTAACATAAAACCAAAATACGTGTCCAGCATCAGCAACATCTGAGAGCAGAGGATTATCACAGAAATATCTCATGAGTTACAACTTGGTACAAATACAATGCAAAATAAACAAGAAGCTGGATGGGAGACAAGAACAGTCTTTTGTGTTTTGTTTCTTTTTTTGTTTTGTTTAAGTATTTTTGTTTGTTTTAAGTATTGACATGGCTTTACAGCCAGAAATCATTCCTAACTTAGTGGATCTTCGATGGATTTCCAAGAAGACTACACACTAGTCCTTTCCTCTAATCTTTTATATTCAGTACAGCCCATCACTCCCCACACTGTACCTACAAGCTCCACATAAGCCACCAGAGAACAACATTCCTACAAAATCTCACCAGGATTTTTCCACTTGTACGCTGTGGGACTTCAGTAAAGCATAATGGGGGGAGACTACCACCACATCTTCTGAAGTGGAAGTTCACTACAAGTAGTCACTGTTATTAGGCATATTTATTAGTCTGATAATATGCTGTTATCAGATCAAAATTTTTAATAAAACATTAAAAATATACATGAAACAATTAAAAAGAAATACATGTATCAGTTCTTGTATGCTAAAAATCAAAGAAAACATGGCTGTTTTCAGAAGATGAGAACTTGTGCTTATTTTCAGTGTGTCAATGATGGAAGTGATTAATAAGCAGAAACATGAAAAATCTGTATTACGTTTGTAGACAAAACATGTAGACAAAAACTAGAGTTTGAAATGATCACTTACCAAAATCTACTCTTGTTAATATGCACTGCATGGGATGGTCAGTTGTATGCCTCGTCGTCGTTGCACCACTTTCATAACAAGTTGCACACAGATCGTAATCGTAGCAAATTAAACACTTGTATCGTCGACCTCGGAAATTTCCTTTTAAACATGCATCACAGCTGACACCTGTAAACAAATAAAACTGCTTTTAAAAAAGCAATAAATGCACTTTTTCAATAAGAGGCACATTTGTTGCTATTGCCTCTCAACAACTAATAGGAGCCAACCACCTCTGACATGTGCAGCTGACACAAGACTTATTTTTAAAATGTATTTGTGTCTTTAAAAGACATTGCTCTCCCAGAATTAGAATCTACAATTCTTGAAGTAAAATAAGGGCAAACTGAAGCACCTGAAATAACAATAGATTAAGTTATAAAATATTTTTGGACACACCTTCCTACAGGCACCTTTACGCTGTAGTACTGACCAGTACTTTGACTGTTTAGTTACAAATCCTGGGACAAACACTCTTAAAAGCAAAATGGTACAATAGCTGATTGAGAGGAAAAAAAACAACAGCAATGAGCAAACCAACCACTGACGAGAATCCACTAGCTTTTCAGCCTTTACTTTCACACTTCCTTACACTTTCATCCTGAAGAAGACTATAACCATCCCTGACATTGTACGCGGGGTAGAAATTAGGACCTTTTTCCATTTCAAACAGGAAAAAAACTAAGGTGTTTTTTGAAGTTAGGTTGTATCAGCTCTCCCTGTCCTACTTCATTCTCAAGCTCAATCTCTGCACTGTAAGGTAGTCACAATGCATGTGTCAGAGAAAGGCTTTAAAGCTTCCAAAGGTTTCCATTTTTCTCTGTGTGGTTTCAGTTCTCACTTGGTTACTTAGTTAAGCACAGGAGAAGTGTCATCATCTTGTAATCTGCCAAGTCTAAGATAAATTTCCTTCAGTTGCAGTAGCAAATTAAGAGCCCCCATGAAAGAAACCAGCACATACAATTAAGGCAGGTTTTTGATCAACATCCTCTTTTGGTATCAGCTACCACATTTTCTTCATAGCCTGGTATACAATTTTAGAGAAATAAAACTGCCAGAACAGAATAGTCACATTAGCCACCCCCCTATTTCTTTTAAGATTAATTGCAAGAGGACTGGTGTTAACTGCAGAAATATTATTGCAGTTTTTTGTTGTGCTACTCTATGGCACCTAAACAGAAGCTTTACCATACATAATACAGGAATGCAACTACTAATCTCTTAAATCTCTGCTACATCATCACATTCAGATGAACACTGGACATTATTTTATCATTTTTTCCTTTAGTTTCATTACCTACAGGGATAGTTTAAGGCATCAACTAATCACTTCTACTGTCTATGCACCATGCTTTTATGACTAGAGAACCTGTTTCTTTGGTTGGCTCACTCAGTTCCTAGCTTGAAAGCATCACTCTACATGGAAGACTACATTAGAAGAAAATATTTCAAGAATCTTTGTTGGCAGCCTCAAGGAACTACATTTTGAGGATGTTACCATCTTCAAAGCCAGGGTTTGTTGCTGGGGTTTTTTTGTGTTTCTCACTTGACATGCTTTTCTCTGAAGTTTCATTGATAAACTTTGAAGGATCTGTAACAATCTTCGATGATTTAGACACCACGAGCAATCCAACATCTGAGAATATCTGCTTGTTAACCCTATAGAATGAATTTCATTGCTTCAGTCTATTTACCTTTCCCCCCAATAGAGATCTACAAAATTCTACCTATGAAGTATCACTATCTCCCCAACAATGCATGCTACACACAAAACACTTATCAGTAATTGGCAGCACTGTCTTTTTGTTGCCTACAAAGCCTTCTAGAAAACAGCTGATCAGCAAGTCATACATCACACTGAGGTAAGCAGACTAGTTCAACCTAGAGTCTATGTCAGACACCAACAGCATTCCAGATGGAAGCATTAATCCCTGGTTTTCCAGTAAGTCTTACTTTCCCCACTTTCTTCCTTTAAGCTCACAAAAACTGACTTAATGCAGATGTAAGACTCTTTGTAAGTCAAACTCCCTCTGTCACACGTTCTCTCAAACATCTAGATCGTTCCTACTTGAAGGCAGACACATGTTTCAGAAGTTTTCACTTACATGTTTTCTTCATGCCAATACTTCTCCGTATCGTTCCAAACTGCAACCTCCAGACAGTTTGTGGTATTAACTTTGGAGAAATTCAGCCACAAACATAAATCACTACATAATGTTTGTATTTAAAACTGAAGAACACTTCCAGTGGAAATGTACAACAAGGTCTTCAAGCAGATTAGTTTTGCTTATTATAAATTATCTGACTCAAATTGTAGACTTTCTAATAGAAAGACTAACATTAGCATAACATCACTATGGCTGGTGAAGTCACAGAATCATAGAATCACAGAATGGTTTGGGTTGGAAGGGACCTTAAAGATCATCCAGTCCAACTCCCCTGCCATGGACAGGGACACCTCCCACCAGACCAGGCTGCCCAAAGCCCTGTCCAACCTGGCCTTGAACACTTCCAGGGAGGGGGCATCCACAGCTTCCCTGGGCAACCTGTGCCAGTGTCTCACCACCCTCACAGTAAAGAATTTCTTCCTAATATTCAGTCTAAATCTACCCTCTTCCAGTTTAAAACCATTCCCCTTTGTTCTATCACTACCTGCCCTGGTAAAAGGTCCCTCCCCAGCTTTCCTGTAGGATCCCATCAGGAGCTGGAAGACTGAAATTAAGGTCCCCCCAGAGCCTTCTCTTCTCCAGGCTGAACAGCCCCAACTCTCTCAGCCGGTCTTCATAGAGAAGGTGCTCCAGCCCTCTGATCACCAAGTCAGACCAAGAGAATAACAAGTTAGAGACAGTATGCTTTCTACATCTCTCAGGGTTAGGACTTTGCCACAGCTACTACATCCTTTCCTTTAAGAAACAGGCTGACAGGAGGGGATGTACCCTGTTACTTCTGTATCTTTTTGTGTAGCAGAGAATGAAAACCACAAAAGAGAAAATGATAAATTAAAAGCCATCGTTTGGGAACTAAACCTATGCTTAAATCTCCAGACCTCCCCTGAATCCAGTAGGACATCTTTTCCAGAAGTTACATCACTACTACTTCTCATTTTACAGTCTCAAAGTCAGGTCCATTATAGTCTTTCTTATTCTGCAAGCTCTTACTTGGTTGCCAAAACCTCACCTGACGATCCAACCTGATATCTGGAAACTGGAATATCCAGGCAAATACTATCTTCCCACCCTATTCTTTCTCCTACAGTAAACACTTATTTCATTATCAAAACTTTTGATTTTGTTTTTCATTTTTCTCTACTTTGATCTTTACATCAACTGAAATGCCAAAAGTTCACTGCTCTTCCCTGCACAAACCCCAAACACATTCAGTCAACACTGCATGTCTTTCACCAGATGCCTACCCATCATTTGCAAATACAGCAGGTATGTTACAGATTCAAGAATGTCAGATTAAACTGGATGCATCCACATTAATCACAGGTTTTGAGAAGAAAACATGCTCTGGAGGGGGTTTGCTCTGAAGCAGGGAATAAGAGCAACCAACTAACCAAAGGAACCTGGATAAGTGACAAGGCTTTAGATAGAATACATTTCTGACTTGCACCAAATGCTACTGAACTTTAAAAGAATCCTTGAATGAAACCCTATTAACCCCAAATGAACTGCTACTCAATGAGAACTTCTGATTCACCTTCCACAAAGCAATGATTTGGAGTGATCATAGTAAGAAATACCAATTTCAATTACAGGTTACATTTTCATTATCACAGCAAACATAGGTGGCTTCCTCAAATATTTCTGCATTTTGTTATTGTCATTCAGGTAGCCACATGTACTGCATAATATGTATCATGTCTAATTAAAATCTTGACAAAGAATGATGGTTTTTTTTAATGTGACACTGTTCCACTAGAGGGTGGCATTGTGCTCAAAGCCTAAGGAGTTTTGGTTCACTTCTCTCTAATCATAAAACTTCAAGTTCTGAAAGTTTCTTGAGTAGTACTCCCTCCCTCACAATTATCAATAGCCTCAGTCTCTCCAGCTTCACATTTTGAATGAAATTAGTAAGGAGATATTTAAGTCACATTAAAAAAATATGCTTTACCCCTTCAATACAAAGTTCTTACTATTTTTATGTCAAGTTATCCCACCTCTTCACCTAATCCAGGTCAACGACCTCAGGGAAGGTATTATCAGACAAGCACTTTTTTTTATGTAGCATACCGAATAGTGGCTTTAAAAGAAAAACAAACAACAAAACCCAAACACCCAACAACAAACAAACAAGACAAACCCTCACCTGAATAGCCTTCATACTTTTTGATCCTGATAGCCACGTATAACTTGCTCTTATGACATAGAATTGTTTTTGCCAGGAATTAACTGAAATGAAAGCAACTTCTCTTGAGTTTAACAGAGAGACCAAAGGGAGCACATAATCTGATTTCATAGTGGAGAGAATAATGCTGGACAGACATGTGGTTCAAATATCACATACATCAGGATTGATTTGTATTTACAACTACAAGCAAAGGTAAGGTATAACATGAATTTCAGCATCCTGAATGTCCCAAGCCATTACTGCCTTGGACAGACATCCATCTGTAACAGAGCAAAGGACTTTTTACCCACTTGGCCTCCTCACATACTACAGGCAATCAGAATAGTAATATTAAAAGCCAAATAATCTGGCCTAGATAAAAATTATCTGATTAACTGTGGAGAACTCAGCAGGGTTTTTTAAGGAAGAATTTTCTTTCCCAAAAAGACTTGTCAAGCATTGGAAAAGGCTGCCTAGGAAAGTGGTCGAGTCACCAACCCTGAAAGTATTTAAAAGACACGCATATGCGGCACTTAAGGAGATGGGTTAGTGGTGGATTTGGCAGCGCTAGGTTGTTGGACTTGATCATCTTAAAAGCTCTTTTCCAACCCAAGTTATTCTATACAGCTTCTGTAGAGACACTGGAATATGTTCCTGCCTCAAACAATGTAACCTGCTAAACTTCATCATTATCTTGGATGTATAATTTGACTTCTAGAAATTTCAGAGAAAATACCATCCGCTAATCACTAGAAAACACTTAAAAGGCATATGAAGCCTGCATCTGAGATAT